CAAGGCTGACGGCGCCGAGCTGACCCGCCTCAGCACCTCGGGCGCCTCGGGTCAACGTGCTCCGCCCCGCCCCTTCTTGCTCTTCGTGCACCTAGGGGGGCCAGTTTCACTTCGCCGCGCCCGGTTCAGGCCGTAATGCTTGGGGGCAACCTCCGCTGGGGCGCAGGTTACCCTCCATCTCACCCACGGCGCAGCATAGCTAGACAGCCCACACACTGGACAGGTGGACCCCCCCCCCTCTTTTCGGGCACAGCGGGGGGGGGCTCCCCCCCCCCAGCTCCGGACATTTCACCCCCCTGTGCGACAGGGGAACCGCCCGCAAGACAAACAGGTCCCGGGCGGGCCCACTTTGCTGTCCGAGTACGACAGCCACCCATCCGCTGGTTGCGGGGGGACCGCCGTGGGAACACCCCCCCCCATGCGCTTGCGGATCGACCCTTGCAGGTCACAGTTTTGACGACATTGGCTCCAGCGGCGATCAGCTGCGACCCCCGAGGATCAACTTTCAATGACGCACCCATCTCACGGACCGAGCGGCGATCAGCTGCGACCCCGTGGGCCAACCATTTCTACCATCCCGAGAGTTGGGGGACCCGAGGGTTGCGGGGAGAACACTGTCCTCCTGCCGCCCCATGCTGGAGCCAGACGGGCGTCCCCCGCCCTGGGTTCCGGGGGCCCCCGGCGTTCCTGCAGCGCTGTGGGTGGCCCCCCCTTCCCGGGCCCCTCCCGCCCCGCCGCGTGGGGTTGGTTTCCCCCCCCCGCGGCGGGTCGGTGCGGCCTTGGTGGGGCGCGGCACACAGTGGCGGGCCCAGGGCCCGGGTGTCGTGTGCCGCGGCGACCGTGGCTGGGCTGGTAGGAGGCGGCCCCTTCGCTTCTCACTGGCAACCCCCCGCCCCACGTGCCCCGTTCCATCGCCGCGTGCCCCCGAGGTATTGCTCAGTGCGTGCCCGCGGAGACCCTGGCCAGGTCCGGCTCGCATCGCGGCGCTTCCTCTCTTGCGCACCCCCTCTCATCTCCCGCCGGCGATGCTCACCGCGCCAGCAGGTTCCCCCACGTCCAGCGGCCGCGCCGTGTCGGCGCACGCTGGGCGGGCCACAGTCGCACGGCGCCCCCCGACACTGTGAAGCGGATCGTGCGGGGCTGACCTGTGTGGTGAGTGGTTCAGCCTTCAGCGTCATGGCAGCCCTCTGGCCCACCGTCACCCCCCCGGTGCGCTGCACCACGGTTCACGACTGCTCAGCCGGTTGGCTTACGCGGATCGTCCGTGTGGAGTCTGGCGCCACATCGGCGACTCACCCTCACCGAATTATGGTCATTTTGTCCAGTGCGCGTGCCAACGCTCGCAGTACGCCTGCCGCGCAGCGCCACCCAGCCAGCAGCCAGCCAACAGCCACCTGAGTGGGCCGGCCGGCGCCTTTGCGCTTGCGAATTCGCCTTGCCCGTGGCCCAGACGTTGCTTTCGCCGCCTGACGCTTGTCTCGTGGCAGCGACCAAAAAAACATCCCCACCGGCCCATCCACAAACGATGCGTAGGGGAGCTGACGGAAGAAAGGAAGAAGAGACGCACATAGTGAAACCGAGCGGGCAACAACGGTGAATTGGGAGACCTTTTGTGTTGCTGTTTCTGGTGCTGTTGCTCCTGGTGTTGTTTCTGTGTTGCTGCTGGTGCTGCTGGTGCTGCTGGGCAGCAGCGGTGAAGGTTGCATGTGTTGCTGCTGGTGCTGTTGCTCCTGCTGGTTTTGCTTATGCTGCTGTTGTTGCTGGTCTTTTTGGTTCTCGACCAGCGAATGCCCAGGCGAATGGAAGTAATCAGGGATGTGGGGGGTGGGCCTCTTTGGGCCGCTTGGGTCCTCTTGGGGGCCTGTTGGGAGCCTTCTGGGGCCATCTTGGGGGCCTCTTGGGGCCTCCTGGGCGACTCTTGGGGCTATCTTGGAGGATATCGATCAAAGAAGAGGGTGGCGGCAATTAGCGCCCTCCCTCGGGAGCCTCTAAAATCGCCTTTTGGACCCCTCTTGGAGCGTTCTTGGGCGCTCGTGCGGCCGTCTTGGAGCTCTCTTGGGCCCCTCTTGGGGCCTCCTTGGCCCCTCCTGGGGTCATCTTGAAGCCTCGGACGGCCATCGGAAACGAAAAGGCGAGAAGGCACAAATCATTGGTTTTCCTCAGGTGTTAAAGATTTTGGCCTCTTGCAGGCCTCCTTGGGAGCCTATTTGGCCTCTTGGAGCCGTCTTGGGGCGGTCTTGGGGCATCTTGGAGCATCTTCGGAACCATCTTGAGGCATCTTGGGCTATCTCGAGCCGTTTTGGAGCTTACACCGCACTCACATCTGTACCCCTGGGTGGGTGTATGTGCGGCCGTTTTTGCGCTGTCATGTGCGCGCATGTGCGCGGCATGTGCCAGTCATGTGCCAGGCCTGTGCGGCCCTTCTTGGATGGACCTCCTACTGTGCACGTCGTGCCCGGGCATGTGCGGGGGCATGTGCGCTGTGTTTCGATGTATCCATCATACGCACATGCACGCACAGTCCGACGCACATGCGCGCACATGCCTGCACATGCGGGAGGTGTTCGAGAATCGCAGATCTGTCATCGGCACATGCACGCACATGCCTGTGCAACCTCTCTTCGGGAGGCCGCGCGGGCCCGCACATGCACGCACATGCGGTGAAGCGCGCGGGCGCACATGCGTGCACATCCCAATGCACATGCACGCTCATGCCCTAGGAGCTGTCTGGGACCCCTGTGCCTCCAATGCCTCCTGGCCTTCGCAGAGCTAACCTGGGGCGTGCCAGGGCTTCCTGAAAGAGTTTGTTGTGCGTTTAGACTCGCCCGCTGCTGGCGGGGGCGGTTCTTCGCCCGGTTCGTGAGCTGGCGGTGGCGTGCCCTCCTAGTAAACACTCTCCCGCGCGCCTTCTCAGCTCGGCCGGAGAAGCAGGGGTGGGGGGGGGGAGGTGGAGGGGGGGGGGAGGAGGGGGGGGCGGAGGAGGCGGACGCCCCCGGCTCGGCCGGCCCGCCCGCCTGTTCGGCTCGGCCAGAGAGGAGAAGGAGGAGGAGGAGGAGGAGGAGGAGGAGGAGGAGGAGGTGAGAGTTGCGAGGATATCTCAGGCGAAAGTGGCTTGACGGCCCGAGCTCAGGGAATCTCGGAATCGCTGGCCTGGCTCGGCCACTGGCGAGCTCGGCCTGTGCGAATACTGTGCGTACCTGTGCGGGGCATGTGCGGGACGTGCAAGAATCCCAGGGCCGGCGTTCGTCTCCGGGCGCCGGCGCGTTCGCGTCCGGCCCGTTCCGCGTGAGACGTCGTCGGCAATCTGGAGGCCGACATGCTTTGACATGAGGTGATCTGGCCACCTTCGCCTGAGACATCCTCGCAACTCTGGTCTCGGAGATGCCCTGCCCCAGGGTGGCCCGGCCACTTTCGCTTGAGACATCCTCGGAACTCTGGGTTTCGAGACGCCCTGAGCTGAGGTGGTTAGCGCAATTTCGCTTTCGCTTGAGACATCCTCGCAACTCTGATCTCAGAGATCTCCTGCCCCATGCTGGTCAGGCCACTGTCGCCTGAGACATTATCGCAAGTCTCGATTCCGATATCCCCGAGCTGAGGTGGTCAGCCACTGTCGCCTGAGACATCCTCGCAACCCTAATCTCAATGATGCCCTGCTCCATAGTGTCTCGGCCCCTTTCGCCTGAGACATCCTCGGAACTCTGGGTTCCGAGACGCCCTGAGCTGAGGTCGTTAGACCATTTTCGCTTTAGACATCCTCGCCCGAGATGCCCTGAGTTGAGGTGTTCAGGCCACTTTCGCCTGAGACATCCTCGCAACTCTGACCTCAATGATGCCCTGCTCCATAGTGTCTCGGCCTTTTTCGCCTGAGACCCTCGCAACTCTGGGTTCCGAGATGCCCTGAGCAGGTGGTCAGGCCACTCCTGCCTGAGACATCCTCGCAACTCTGGGTTCCGAGACGCCCTGGGCTGAGGTGGTCAGACCACTCTCGCCAGAGACATCCTCGCAACTCTGACCTCAGAGATCTTTTGCCCCATGGTGGTCAGGCCACTTTCGCCTGAGAATACCTCACAACTCAGACCTCGGAGGTGTCCTGCCCCATGGTCGTCTGGTCACCTTGACCAGCGACATCCTCGCCACTCTGGTTTCCAAGATGCCCTGCCCCATGGTGGTCTGGCCACGCTTGCCTGCGAGATCCTCGCAACTCTGGGTTGCGAAATGCCCCGAGCTCAGGTGGTCAGGCCACTATCGCCTGCGACATCTCGGCGGCATGTGCGGGCATGTGCGTCTATGCTTTCAGAGTTTTGCTTGACCGTGCATTCGACTGTGCGTCCGACGGTGTGGCATGTGCGCGCATGTGCGGCAATGCTGTTGAGGCTTTTGTATATTTGCATGGGCATGTGCATGCGATTGTGCGGCATGTGCCTGCATGTGCGGCCCCTTCCGGACCACAATTTCAAAGTGAGCACTATAGAAGTGAGCGATATAGAAGTGAGTCCGGTGTATCTTGGGCTCTCCGAAGCGCTCTTGGAGCCGTCTTGGGCCATCTTGGACGCTCCAACGCGTCGCCGCGCCCCCCGTCCAGGTCCAGGGGAGGGGATAGGGGAAGGAGTAAACCCCTCCACGAAGGGGAAGAAGAAGGGGTGGAAGAGGAAACTCTCTAAGCCACCTACGCCCAGAGGGCTGGTGGGATTCCGCCGTCGCTATGATCCCGTGTAGTGATCGCCGAGATCGCTGCTGTCGCTGTGATCCCTATCGTTGCCATCGTGCTCGTTGCTCCTCCTCTCCCCCTTCGCCGGGCAGGGCAGCCCGCCTGGGACCAGCGTGGCGGCGCGTGCGGCTTGGGGCGCTCATGGCCCGTGCTGGGGCCTTCCCAGGCACGTGCGCGTGCACGTTTTGCTGTCGTTGCCTTCTTGTGCGCGCCCTGGCTGGAGGCTGGAGGGCCCCCCGCCCCGCGCGCGCGGGGAGCGGCGGCCGAGAAAGAGAGAGACTGCCGGCCCGAGGACTCGGCCTGCGGCGGCGAGGTGCGCGCGCTGGCCTCCGACGAGGCGCGCCCCGTCGGCGCGCGCGGCCCCCGCGGCGCGCTGGGCGTCGCTCGTACGCGCGCACTGCTCCGGAGGAGGTGGGCTCGGGCTCGGGCCAGAGAAGCACTGGCTGGGGCCCGGGCTCGGCTCGGGCTGGGGCCCGGGCTCGGGCTCGAGCTCCGGGCCCAGGCTTGGGCTCCGGGGGGCGAGGAGAGGGTGATTGGCGGGGCGAGGAGGGGCGATGAATAGGAACGAGGAGGAGGAGGAGGAGGAGGAGGAGGAGGAGGAGGAGGAGGAGGAGGAGGAGGAGGAAGAGGAGGAGGAGGGGGAGGAGGGGGAGGCGGAGGAGGAGGCGTAGGCGGAGGAGGAGGAGGCGGAGGAGGGAGGGGGCACATCGAGACAATGGCAGTGAGCCTTCGGGTTTCCCCCCCGTCGCCACGGCTGTTCGCAGCTCGGAGCATTGGTGCGTGGGGGCCGATCTCGAGCTGCTGGCGTCTCGGCTCGCCCCCCTCCGATCCCTGGCCGTCCAGAGAGGCCCAGGGCGGCCTCGGGGGGCACGCCTCGGGAGGCCCAGAGGGCCAGGGTCGCCTGGGCCTCATGAGGGCTTAGGGGGCCCAGGGCCAGGGCGGCATCTCTGGAGCACGCCTCAGGAGGCCCCAGGGGGTGCCCCTGCTGCCTCGAGATGACGCGGAAGGCGGGGGGGGCACCTTGCTTACTTGGCAACTTCGCGGGACCTCGTCTGTCCTGCCAACGGCGGTCCATTCCTGGAAACCGACGTATGTCCGACGCGCATTCGACGCGGTTTGGACGTGGTTCCGGCGCATATTCGACCTACGCGGGTATCGGGGCGTCGGGACCGACAAAGTCCCCCGACGATGCAACATAGCCGTGGGCGAGGGCCGCCTCTCTCTCGTGACCTCCAACCTCTCCGCGCCCAGGCGCTTGTGCAGTCCATTGGCCTCGAGGGGTGCCTCCCACGGACCCCGGACGAGCATGCCCTCTCTCGGAGCCCCGATTCATCAGGGCCGTGGGTGTTCAGGGATGGTTCCTGTCTCGTGCCCCGGGGGTTCAAACCGGAGTTGCCCCGGACCGAATCTATCCTGGATAATTCGGGCGTCCAGCCATTCCCGAATCATCGCGGTTCGGGGTTGTCAGGGGTAACTCCTGGCTCGTGCGTCGGGGGCCCAAACCGGAGTTACCCAGGACAGGAGTTATGCCAGATAATGTAAATTCCCGCCCGCCCCGGAGGGCTCCAAGAGTGTCCGCATCAAGCGCGCCGGCCGCGAGGTCCGCGGGGCCGATGTCTCCAATCCAGCGGGCAAACGGACAAATTCTCGGCGTGGAGCCTCGCTTGTGTGACGGTGTCGGCGGCGGTGGCGTCGTCGTCGTTGTCTCGTCGGTTTGGAGTGCTCTGCGCATTCGAGGGATTTCTCACCTCGGCTGGACGCGGCCCGGGATGCTGGCGCCCGCGGGCATGTCTTGAGCGGATCGATTGGCGCAGACATTCTACGAAGCGCGGTAATTCACGACGGGTGCTTCCCTCGTCTCGCCAGTGGCGGCCGCCTGTAGGGCCGCCTGTGGATAATCACGCGAGACGGCCAAGTCCTCAAAGTTGGTCCCCAGGTCTAGACGTTGCAGCTCTAGGTGGACGAAGGCCAAGACACGGTTTCCGTTCAGTACGGAGCATGGCAGGCGGCCAAGTCCTCAAAGTTGTTCCTTGGGTCTAGACGTTGCAGCTCTAGGTGGACGCGGGCCAAGACACAGCTTTCGTTCAGCACGGAGGCTCACGGCGACAGTCCCCAAGGGGCCCCAGACCTTGAGTCCATCGACCGCCTTGGGATGCCTTGGGTTTCAGGGTCTGGGCTTCTTGCGGAGGCTTCTGGTGGCCGAAGTCTTGATCTTGTACGTGCGACTTCGGAGGTGGGGCCGGAGACGGAGGAGGAGGTGGAGGAAATGTGTAGGAGTGCGCAATATCAATGATCTGGGGGATTAGGGTGGCGTCCGTGACAAATTGCATTACACAGGGAGCGTGCTGTGCTGTTGCCGTTGTTGCTTCGTTCTTGAGTTCGCACTCGTATCATATAACGGAGAACCATGCCCCCGGCTCCAGGTGCGGCCACTCGCTGACGTATTCGCACCCGCATCCCCCCAGCCATGCAGAGCACAACCGCCTGAGCGACGCGTCGACAAGCCTCGAGATGCAGACACTGTCGGTGAGCGCCCTGCCCACCATGGCACGACGCGCCGGACGACCTGTACGGGTCTCTCCTTCGCGGGTCGGGGTCGGCCGTCCTCTTTGGGTGATGGCCCCGCTCCCGCTCCTGAGTCCAGGCGGAGCTCGTCGAGCGGGCGACGCGATGCCTCCCCGCGGTGCGGCCGAGGGTGGACTTCGTCGCGCTCCCGCGGCTGCCCGAGGTCGAGGCGCTCTGGGGCTGCTGGAGCGAGGCGCACGGGCTGGTCTCCGAGCAGGCCTTCTGGTTCCGCCCGAGGCTCGAAGGGCCCAGCGCCTCCGCCGATCCTGCCCTGGAAGTCTGCAAGGAGGTCTTGGCGCAGATGGCCGGCTCCTTCAATGCGGTTTTCTACCCGATGTATTGGTTGTCTGCGATCGCGCAGGAAGCCACGAACTTTTGACATGCCGATCGTTGGGGACCCCGAGGACCAGAGGCTCATGCCCGTGAACGCGGCCAAGGCTTGGCTCCACCCGCACATCGGTGCACGTGACAGCCCTTGCGTGCGCACTGTCCTCTCGTCCCTTGGAGGCCGAATCCGGGGGCCAAGAGGATTTACGGCCTTCAACGTCGATGAGTTGCGCGAGGCTTTGGCGCAGCTTCGTCGGGAGTGCCCAGCTGGGACAAATTTGTGCTGAAGCCAGCTGCGGGCTCGGGGGGCTGCGGCATCGTGCTTGATGCAACGGAGGCCCATGTGGACGCCTTCGTGCTCGGCTCGTCCGGGGGTTCGGCGATCCTTAGGAGATGGTTATCGGACTGGACACCCCGCAGTCCCCAACACTCTACATGATCGGGGACGCCTTGCGGGCCCCTCGCTGATCAAGTGCTCGCAGACGACTTCTCCACCAATCTGGGGAACCGGTTCCCATCCATGCTGCAGGATGAGGACCTCTTCAGCGCTTGCGTAAAAGCCTCCCAGGAGATCAACAAGACTTGAGGTATGACAAGCAATTGGGGCCTCGACTTCGTCCTCGAGAAGGGCGGAGACGCAGTCATCGTGGACATCAACATGGGACGCCCGAATGGGAACTTCGCCGTCCGGCTTTGGGCCAGCCTTTCCGAGAAACCGCTGACCGTGTTCACAGGATCGTGGACGGTTCCTGGTCACGCACTTTCCATCCAGAGTATCTTCGAGCCTTTGCGCGCGGCGAAGATCCTCTGGAATGGCGATGAGGGGGTCATCATGTACCAACATGTGCCGGACTGTCCTTCCAGCTACGTCATTGCGAGTGAACGTGGTGCCGATGGTGTTTCTCAGCTTCAAGCGCGTTTTTCCAAGACAGTGCTTGATGTGAATGGCCTTGTGTTGCCCTAGAGATCCAGTCAGCACATAGGGTCTGCCCTCCCTCCGATAAACATCAAACTTACAAATATACGGCACCGCTGCCGATAGAGTGTTACCTTGCGGGCGTGATCGCGCCTACGGGCCTTGCATGTGCACATGGCGCCATAGTGGGGCGTTGATGTGCATTTAAAGATTGTAGTGCGCCGCAAGCGCACATAACGCAAAACGTGTTTGTGTACGCCCATGCTTGTACAGTTAAGCAGGCCCTGGAGACAGTGTGAAGCAGACCATGCGTTCATAATATCCAGTCGCCTCTGCCAGCGTCTTGTATGTGAGTCCGCTCAAGAGCGCGGTTGTGACTTCCATGCTGATTCAAGTCTGTTCCGAATTAGAATGCACGTTGTAGCATGTGCGACGTCATTTCATGTGGCAGTCCGTGCCAAAGCACGTCGCCATCAATACAGTTGGGCGCGTTAGGAGTTGCGCCCTGAAGCCGGAGTCGATCGAGTCTACTCCCCAGCACAATTGCTGTTCAGCTTCTGGCGCCTGTCAATTGATCCGTACCTCCTCCTCGTCATTGTCACCCTTTCTCCGCGTTCCTTGTCCTTCCCTGCTCTTTTTCTTTTCGTCCTTCTCAGCGTAAGGCTCACAAGCCAGCTGCTTGAAAGGATCGTGTTTACTTATTTGTAGGCGTCGTGCAGCGTGTCGATTCACATTGTCACGAATACCACGATGCCATTTAACGAGTTGTTCTCCTCTAAAAGGATGCTCGCGACAAGTACGAAGTCGTCTCACGTGACTGATCGTGCCGAAGCATGTTGCCAGCCACACAGGCGTGTGCCTTACAGTTTTGGATCGATCGTGTATTTCCTGCCCGCTGTGATAAAAAGGAAGACTCCAAGGGGACGTACCCCGACGAGTGCCCCAAGACGCCAATATTATAGATGTTGGTTAATTAGGTTTTCGGAAGGATCTGAGCGTTCTCACCGCTTCGGGCTTCAACACTCCGAGACGGCTCAAGAGGCGCCCAAGACCGCCCCGAAACGGCCCAAGGGGGGACCATGAACGCACCAAGACGGCGTCAAAGACTTCTCGGGAGCCCCAGGATGACTAGAGAGGGCCCCTGGACGGTCCAAGAGGCCCCCCAAGACGGCCCAAGAGGGGGACACAGCCCCGGCACCGTGGCGGGATGGTCCGAAGGCCAATGTCTCTGTCTCTCTCTCTGTCTCTCTCTCTCTCTCTCTCTCTCTCTCTCTCTCTCTCTATATATATACACACTACAGATGTCGGTGTCAGTATACACACATATCACATCTACACTAGACATGTGTATATATATGTGTGTATATATATATATATATATATCGGAGGTTGGGGGGTGAGTCCGACGTGAAACGGAGACCCCCCTACCGGGAAATCGATTTCGGTTTCGGGTTCGTGTCGTGCGTGCGTGCGGGCGAGGCGAAGCTGCGTGGGCGGGCGAGAGGAAATCCTCCTGTGGCTGGGCCGCGGCCGGACCAAATGTAACTCCTCCGGCGGCCGGTGCCCCGCGGTGTCCCGCCAGTGTCCCGCCGGTGTCCCGAAATCCTCCTGTGGCTGGGCCGCGGCCGGACCAAATGTAACTCCTCCGGTGGCCGGTGCCCCGCGGTGTCCCGCTTGTGTCCCGCTGGTGTCCCGTGGTGTCCGCCGTTGCTAAGGAGAAGTCGAGACAAATGATTGTCCCCCTCCCTCCCGTCCAGCGATGGCTCGCGGTGTCCCGCGTTATCCTATGGTGTCCCGTGGTGTCCTGTTGAATGAGATCGATAGTGAGATCGATACTGAGATCGATGCTGAGATCGATACTGAGATCGATATTGAGATCGATGTGGTGCCCCGAGGTGTCCCGTGGTGTCCCAAAAAGTGAGATCGCTAGTGAGATCGATAGTGAGATCGACAGGTGCCCCGTGGTGTCCCGCGGTGTCCTGTGGTGTCCCGTTGAGTGAGATCGATAGTGATATCGATAGTGAGATCGATGTGGTGTCCCGTGGTGTCCCGAGGTTTCCTATGGTGTCCTGTTGAGTGAGATCGATCGTGAGATCGATAGTGAGACCGATAGTGAGATCGAGAGAAGTCAGCGAAGTCCCGTGGTGTCCCGTGGTGGCACGTGGTGTCCCGTGGTGTCCGGTTGAGTGAGATCGATCGTGAGATCTTTAGTGAGATCGACAAGTGTCCCGTGGTGTCCCGTGGTGTCCCGTTGAGTGAGATCGATAGTGAGATCGATTGAATCAGATGTTGGTTCCCCCCCCTCTCCCCCCCCACAACCTCCTTATCACCCATGTATATATATACATACACAAATATAGACATATATATATATATATATATACGTTTTCTTATACACACCTCTCCGAGGGAGTAGAGCTCAGAGCCGATTAATTGAAGGCGTCGTCCGCGATTTTTCTGGCCGTTTCGCTGGGGACATCCTCGAAATTCTGAACATCGGTGGCACCCCTCACGCAGATCGTGACGTCAGGGTCCAAACGCACATGGGTATTTCAACATTCTAACATAAAACCTTCAAAAACACATTGTAACTTCAATGATTTTGACCCCGATTCTCAGAGAATGACGGTTTCGCCTGAGACATTCGCCCGACGTACCTTCTGGTACCCTAGACCCCACTTCGGAGCCTCTTGGGAGCCTGGAACCTCCAGGGGCCTCCTGGGGCTTTCTGTACCTTCTGGTACCCCAGACCCCGCCTCGGAGCCTCCTGGGGGTCTCCTGGAACCTCCTGGGGCCTCCTGCGGCCTCCTGGAGCCTCTTGGGGCCTCCTGGAGCCTCCTGGGGTCTTCTGGGGCCTCCTGAGGCCGCCTGGGGCCTCCTGGGGCCTCCTAGGGCCTCAGAACTACATGCGCACACAGAGACACAAATCACACCCAACACATCACACGCTAGACAAACATAACACACACACAACACCTACAACGCACGAAAACACGCACAACACAGAGCACACATCACACACAACACTCACAATCCCGGGGCCTCCTGGAGCCTCTTCCGGTATCCAAGTCGGGCCTCCTGAGGTTTCCTGAGGGGCCCTGGTACACACATCGCAAGGTGTGGCAACCCCACTTGCGCTCGAGTGCGACCTCAAGCTTATATTCTTCTGCGTTCACCTCCTGCCTCTTCCCCTTCTCCCCTGCGGGCACGCCCTGGCGGCGCCGCCCCAGCTTCCCCTTCTCCATCTCCGATCCTGCAGTCATGGTGTCTTCCTGCTTCAGACGCCCTTTCAGTTGTTTTTGTATGAGACTGGGCACACACGTGCCACTTGCACACACATATATATATATATATATATATATACACACGTGTATCGGAGTAGTCTGGGGGAGGGCCCAGAACTGCGACCTTTGGTTCGCATGGGGGGCCGGCGATCCTGAGGGCTCCAAGAGGTTTCAGAAGGGGCCCCGGATCCCCCCAGAGGCTCCCAAGCTGGCCCAAGAGGCGCCCAAAGCGCCCCATGTTGTCTCCGTGGCCATTTGGGCTCAAGGGCCCGCTTCGTCGGTTATGACTCTGGCCGCTGCCATGTCGACGCCGAAGGACCCAAGGCTTGCACAGGCGTGGCTGGACATCCGCCTGCGCGACCTGAATCAGGACGACTTCGAGGGGGGCCTCCGCATCTTCTGCACGAGCAGGCTGGAGCCCCTAGAGGCCTTCCAGGACGTGTGGCAAGTGATCTCCGAGGAGTCGGACATAGTCGTTGAGACACCCCTGCTCAGCCAGGAGGACTCGGCCGAGCTGCACACGATCCTGATGTTCTGCAACCGAAACAGGTGCGATGAGGTCAAGAGACGCTGCGATATCATCACGAACATAGACATGGGCAGCAAGGACGCCCCGCCGATGTTCTGGGTGCCCCACTCCGCTGCGCCCGAGAGCCAGGGCGGGCGCGGCTCGGACTTCGTGACTGCCGAGCTGGTGGGGGAACTCCTGCACAAGGGCCTTGACGGCATCGTTAGCGGCAAGCCCGCTGGGCTGCGCGTCGCCATGGCCGTGCGCTCGATGCTCCGCAAGTGGGCGAACCTCTCGCGGAATTTGAACGACATGATCGCGGAGGCGCAAACGCGGATGCAGCACGCGGATCGCCTGCAGAACGGCGCACACGCAACCTTGTAGGACTACGTCAGGGCCCGCATGGCGCCCGATATCCCTCCGGTTGACGGCAGCCTCGAGCCTGGAGTGCCGCGGGAGATTGACGGCTTTGCCGTCGGGAAGAAGCTCGGGCAGGGGATGTTCGGGACTGTCTACAAGTTGACAAAGAGGGACGGTGTCGGTGTGGGGAACAGGGTCTAGGTTGTGAAGGTGATGCTCACCGAAGGCATCACGTTCATCAGAGAATTGATGTACCTCAACCACATGCTCCACGTGATGACCATTCTGAGTAACGAGAAGCACCCAAACATCATTCGCTTGCACCAGACATACCACTCGCCGAGGCACATCCTCTTCCGAATGGAGTATGGAGGCCCAGAGAACCTGCACCGCTTCCTGCTCCCCCGCCAGGCACAACAGCCAGAGAGGCAGCGACCAGTGACCATCGACAAGGTCTCGAAGATCTTTTCGCAGTGCGTCGAGGCTGCGTGGCACTTGCACGCTGTGGTGCGGCCGTCTTTGGGAAGCTTATGCCGATCCATCAGACCATGCCACGCTCGTGTCCGACACCCGAAAGGTCCAGCCCGACATGGAGGAGTGGCCGTACTTTCCAAAGTTCCTGGCCTTCAGACCTGCTCAGCCACTTCGCTCCAGGCGAGACAGCTATACGAGCAATCAAGAGATGTCAGAACAGCTGTTCCTGTTTCAAGAGGTGGTGCGACTTTCTTCCTGCACATCGCCTCTTTCTACAACTGCCAGGACCATCTCCGAAAGGAACGCTACCTGGACAAAGCCTTCGAGGATATCGCAGTGGTGGGGGACCAACCGCTACTACTCTGTACAGACACGAACCTCTCGGATTCCTCTGTCGTGATCAAAGATGCGCTCAGTACTGG